AAGGAGGGCCTGGACCTTCCTTTCTAGCCCCGGTTCATTCATTTGACCTCAGCTCCAGAATCGAGAGGGCAGCTTTTCCTGCACAGCTGAAGTTCCCTCCCTTCAAAAGGCAGCCCCCCCCCCCCCCAGCCCGTTCTGCCACTTCATCTCATTTTCTTCTGAAAGAGGGTCCCGGGAGATTAGGGGAAGTAGTGGTCGAAGGTATCCCCAAAAAGCGAAGGAGCAACGGCCAAACTTTATTCCGGGATCTTCATTCGGGTCTCTTTTGCCCCCCCCCCCAAAAAAAACGGGATCCTGAACCACAGAAAGTGGGAGATTCCTTCACATGTGGGGTTGAGTGGCGGGAGCCGCTTCGTCCAGACGTTCAGTGCAGGGGAAACACGTGTTTCAAGGAAGGGACTCGCTTGTTTCTCCCGGGAAGCGGAGCTGCGTCTTTCCCGAGACAGCCGAAGGATTCCCCAGTGAAAAGGGAAGGCTGGGGGTGCTGTTGAAGGGGTTGAGTTTTCGGGAGGGGCGGGGGGGGTCTCAGCGACCCCACATGATTAGGGGAGGGACTCTCCCACGCGGGAAATTTGTGCGTTTGTGTATGTTAAGGTGCTCAAGGACTCCGCAGTCAGACGACTCAGAAACCCACCAAGTCTTCACGGGCTCTGGGGCTGCGCCTCCTCTTTTTTCATCCCATGAAACCCCACTCCACGCCTGATCGGTGGGGAGGGCAAAAAGAAGTCCACGGCCTCCTCTAGGTCTGGAATCAACGCCCCCCTCGAGCTGCGCCCCCTCCCTAAAAACTGAACTCTCTCCTCCAGCGTTTGAAGACAAGAGACTCTGCCCGGAGACTGATGACGCTGCAGAAGATTCCCATTGGTACTTTCGCTTTCGCGGCTACTCCCAATTCCCAAATTCAAGGAGAATGCTCCCTGCCTTCCCCCCAATCCAGACCCACCGATGCGGCCTCTGGGGCTGGGACCATTTGTGTCTTTCTCCCCTCTCTTTGAGGGGGCTTGTGGGGCAGCATCCATGGGCTTTACTGATTCTGCTGGTGGGGGCTCTGGCCCGGATCCCTGCAAGCGAAGGCGGAAAGGAGACCCCCGGTAAGGAGGGGGCTCGTCTGTGGGAGGAGAGGGGCCCTCGGTGCTCCTGGGGGAAGGAGGGAGGGAGGGAGGAGAAAGAGGCTGGGATGCCAGTAGTGGGAAAAGGGGTCGAGAACAAGAGAGGCGGGATTCTGCAGGATCTCGGCGTA